CTTGCACCCCGGAGGGGGAGAACTCTCCAGACCCTGCGCCCCGCCCTCAGGCTCCTGGAGTCCTAGGAGACTCCCAGTGACTAGGAGCCCAGGGAAGGTTGGAAATCAAGCCCTTGAATCCAGTGCATTGGCTCTTTTTGTTTGTTTTGAAAACATGGGCTGTGGCTGAAGTACTATAGCAGTTTAGCTGAGCCCAGGAAGAGGAAAAAAAGCCCTAGGTAAAATCCAAGTCTGAATCAAGTAATTAATTATGCATTAGTTATCAGTTCCTTGCTCATTTTTTTCCTCTCCTTGTTTTTGGGACCCAGGGCCTCCCTCATGCCGGGCAGGCCTGTGTGCTGAGGCCACAGGCTCCTGATTCTGTCCAGGGGGCGGTTCGGGGTGCATTCTGTTTGGTCACTTGAGGGTACATTTATAGGGGGTGCTATGCCCCCCCCGCCCCCGAAAAAAGCCTGTGGCGGGTCAGTTAAGTCTGGGGCCTCTGCTCCAATGTAATTTGTTACTAATAGGTAGCACAGGATATGTTTATGGAACAAGCAAGGAGCAGCTTTGGGGGAATTTAGCATTTTAAGGTGTTGTCCAGAAAGCAAGTAGGTCCCGCCTATTGCCCATCACACCTTCATTTGTTTCTCCTGCATGGGGGGGGGGGGGTGGGCTGTGTGTTAATACTGATTACTTAACTTAAATTTTACTCTTAAAGACATGGGCGGGGGAGGTAGTTGGGAGGCATGGGCACCTGACTTGGGAAGTTCCCTGCAGTCCTGGGGATGGAACTGGGTGCGTTCAGCTGCATGTCGGGCCAGCAGGGCGGCCCAAGCTCCTAGGAAGTGCCTTGGCCTCTTGGCGTTGCTTTGGGTGTTTCAAGAGTGTTTCAGATCTGCAGTTTCTGGGACTGGAGCAATAGCACAGTGGGTAGGGCGTTTGCCTTGCATGCAGCCAACCCAGGTTCGATTCCCAGATTCCCAGCATCTCATGGTCACCCGAGCACCACCAGGAGTAATTCCTGAGTGCATGAGCCAGGAGTGACCCCTATGCATTGCCAGGTGTGACCCAAAAAGAAATTTAAAAAAAGAGCTGCAGGTTCTGATGCACTAGAAATCGTTGTAACTGGAACAGCAGCACCACTTCTGGGGATGACTTCAATCCTGGGTTTTTCTTTTTTTTCTCTTTTTTTTTTGTATTAAATCACCTCTAGATAAATAATTACAAAGTTGCCCGTGTTTGGGTGTCAGTCCTATAGGGCTCCATGCGTCCTGGAGTCCTCCTGGGCTTCCTTTCCTGCCTCATCTCACTGGGTGGGTCGAATGCCGGCTCCGTGCTCCCCTCCGCCCCAGCTCCCCTGTGAGTGAGGAGGTGTGTGTGTGTGTCCGTCCGTCCATCCGTGTCTGTGTCCGTGTCCCTGCATCCTTGCATCCTTGCCACACTCGCTCCTTGGTGCCTGGTCCTGCTGGCCCGCCCTCGAGAAGGCCGCCCTGCCCGCCAGGCACTGCAGTCCCTTCGATCCTTTCCGGAAGCTGGGCCCAGCCTCCCCAGCTGAGTCATCATCCCAGGAGATGTGGCCTCAGGTTGGCGCCCTCTGCTCTCTGGTCCTGAGCAGGGAGGTGGCTCAGGTTAGGTCCATGGGGCTTTGCCACACGGTCTGGACCTGCCACCCTGACTCTCAGCGGGGCCCTGCTCGACCCCGACACTCCTGGTATCGTGGGGCCACGCCGTGCTGTGCCCTGGGACTGTTCCTGACCACTCAGAAGTCCCCCCCCCCAGTGTGCTGGGGGACACATGGCATAAGTAGTGCCAGGGGTTAAAATTGGGGGCCCCTGTCATGCAAGCACAAGCGTTTTTTTTTAATTTTTTTTTTTTTTTTACTGAATCGCCGTGAAATAGTTACAAGCTTTCATGTTTCAGCCATACAGTGATCCAACACCCATCCCTCCACCAGTGCACATTCCCCACCACCAATGCCCCCAGTATATCCCCCCTTTCCAAACCTCCCCCTGCGCCCACGGCAGACAGTTTCCCCCGTATTCTCTCTCTGAGGCGTTATGGTTTTCAGTATAGATACTGAGAGGCCATCACGTTTGGTCCTTTATCTACGTTCAGCACACATCTCCCATCCTGAACGATTCCTCCAACCGTCACTGTCTTAGTGGGCCCTTCTCTATTCCAGCTGCCTTCTCCCCCAGCTCATGAGACAGGCTTCGAACGATGGAGCAGTATTCCTGGCCCTTGGCAAGCACAAACCTCAGCGCTCTCTCTGCGCTCCCACCACCCTAAAATTTTAGTCATCAGATTGTTACAAGACGGCCATCACTTGATTTTCCCTCCCTGGCTGGGGGGGGGGTGGTCCCTCACCGGGCTGTAGGATTGCGGGCAGCTGGGGTCTCCCGCTGGGCCAGACAGCACTGAGAGGTCTTCCAGGTCCATGCTAGTGTCTGGCCGGGGGGTGGGGGGGCATGCAGGCTACTGGAAGGGTCTGCCTCAGTCAGGGGGGATGGGCAGCTTTCTCGGCTCCTTCAAGCAGTAGTAGTTAAAAGAGAGGTTGGGGGGCTGGAGCGATAGCACAGCAGGTAGGGCGTTTGCCTTGCACGCAGCCAACATGGCCAACACAGGTTCGATTCCCAGCACCCCATATGGTCCCCTGAGCACTGCCAGGAACAATTCCTGAGTACATGAGCCAGGAGTAACCCCTGAGCATCGCTGGGTGTGACCCAAAAAGCAAAAAAAAAAAAAGAGGTTGGTTGGTTGTGGTCTTTTGGGGTCACACCTGGCGATACTCAGGTTGCTCCTGGCTCTGCACTCAGGAATGACTCCTGGCGGGGCTCCTGAGACCATATGGGATGCCGAGGATCGAACCAGGGTCTCAAATCTGGGTCGGCCCTGTGCCAGGCTAAATGTCCCGCTGTCTTGTCACTCCAGCCCTTGGGGAGCATTTTTACTGTCAGTTTTAGGCCCACACTCATCCGTGCTCAGGGATGACATCCAGCCGTGTGACAACCTGTGTCACCCTGTGCTCAGCAAGTGCCTACTCGCCCGGCCCTTTATTAGAGGTTTTAAGCTTACTCAGGAGGAGGATCTGCTGGCGGCTGGTTTCTCGGGATGCCTCGCTCAGGAAGCAGTTCTCGAGACCAGTAGCCACGGGCCTGTAGTGTCCGTCAGCTGGCAGTAGGCCGTCAGCTGGCAGTAGTGCTGGGAAGGGGCCTGGCCTTGGGGCCCGTACACGCCTGCAGTGGGATCTCCCGAGGGCCCACCTGCCAGTTCCCAGGCTGCTTCTGACTTGGCACTCAGGTGGGTGCTGCCTCCCTGAACCCCCAGTTCCCGTTTCTAGGCGGGCCCTAGAAGCTGCAGTAACAGCCGCTGCGGGGGGTGGGGGTGGGAACGCAGCTCAGTGTACCTGGAGATCACCGGCAATCTGGGACCTTTCTCCTTCAGAGAATCCCTGGCGTGCTTGGGGCAGGGCAGGCAGCAAATGGGCCTGGGGGTGGCCCTCCACCCGCCTGGCTCCTGCTGTGAGCTTCGCTCCGGGGTCCTGGGCTTTCCTGCCCCCCCACCACCAGGAGAGTCACCCCCCACCCCCACGCTGCCCACCTGGGACGGTTGGATCCATACTGCGTTTCTGGATGAATTCTTCACAGAGTTCTGTTGGCTGTGCTGCTTCTGCCCGACACCGGCATGGCCTTCCGTGAGGGGTGCCCACAGCCCCCCAGTCCCAGAGACTGTCTGCGGCCTTAGAGCTGTGATCAGGGTGCTGAGGGCTGGAGCACTGCTCTGGGAACAGGAGCACCACAGGCCATGGCCCAAGATGAGTGAATGCCTCATGCCCTGGTCTGGGTGGCCCGGGACAGGCAGGTGCTCAGGGCTGAACAGTCGTTGCTGGGCCGAGGACTGAACTCGGACCCTGTAGATGTAAGGCATCCCCAGCCCCCAGAATGTCCCTGGTACAAGAGTAATGAGGAACCAGAGCGCTGTCACAATGGGAGGACACTCACGGCCGACCCAGGTTTGATCCCCAGCACCCCATAGGGTCCCCAGAGCCTGCCAGGAGTTAAGTCCTGAGCATGCTGGGGGCGGGGTGCTCTCCTACCCTCCAAAAAAGTAACTGAGCAGATCTTTGTGTGGGCCCATTCCAGTCTCTTTGAAAGGAGACCCTTTCCCCTGTGTCCTACAAGTTTATTTAGAAAAGGTCACCTCTCCAGTCAGTGCAGTCAGTGGCCAGAGGGTGAGTGTCACAGTGACCACGTGCTGCCCCTCTGTCTGGACCTGTCCTGCAGGTAGGTCCCCTCGGTGAGGCAGGGCTGTGCGTCCAGAGAGCAGGGTGGAGGGTCGTTCGTGTGTGCTTTCCTCCCTGCGGGGCTGGGGGCCATGTGGTACCGGGATGACCACAGTGCTGGCCGTGCAGGGCAGGCGCTGGGCCGTTCTTTCTTGCTCTGTTGCTGCTGAGAGGAAGTTCGGTGCAGCTGCCTGAAGGAACCTTTTTCCACCTTTGTGTTATTCATAGCCTGCAGTCCTGCAGTGGGGATGGTCTGGGATTGTCTGATGCTCTCGTTCCCCAGACACTGTCCTTGGTGGGTCTTGCCGCCTTGGATGAGCTCCTTGATCTGATTGCACGACTCCTGCCTTTATTCCCTGACATTCTTGTGGGGGCTTTCCTCAGGGGGGACCATCCAAACGAGGAGTCAGGATCCAAATGGGGTCACAGCCAGAGCTGCAAGTGCAGCCCCTCTGTGCCCTGTCGGGTCGTGGGCTCCCCTGTGCTCTTGCCATGACCTGGCCAGACCTGGGTGGGAGTTGGCAGGCCCCACCTCAGTGGACGGGCTGTGTGCGGGGCACGGTCCCCAACATTGCCCTGGGATCCTGTCCCCAGGGCCAGAGCTCCGGCCGCTTCTCATCCTGGGGTGCGATCTGGCATGAAGGGGCGCTTGCCCCAGGCTGGGAGGGCTGCTGGGGTTTGCATTCTGGAGCGGTGTGCGGCTGTGGTGGGTCCTGACCGGGTCCGTCTCCCGCAGGTCCCGCGGCAGTGCTGGCGGCCATGGCTCCCGCAGCCAGAAGGAGCTGCCCACGGAGCCCCCGTACACGGCCTACGTGGGGAACCTGCCCTTCAACACGGTCCAGGGCGACATCGACGCCATCTTCAAGGACCTCAGCATCCGCAGCGTGCGGCTCGTCAGAGACAAGGACACAGACAAATTTAAAGGTGCGTGTGGGGACCCGTGAGACCTGGTCACGCAGACCCCAGGAGCACATGGTCAGGGGGGCCCCCGGCGCGCCCCTTTTCATGTGCTCTGACAGCTCCAGTCTGTCCTGGAGTCTCACGGGTGCGGTGACCCAGGACAGGTGTCGATTGATAACTGTTGATTATTAAATGATCGAAACATGCATCCGGAAGCCTGAAAGCCCGGCCGCAGTGTCGGGCCGGGGCGTCCTCCTCAGCCGGATGTGCTCTTTCAGGCCTTCCTAGTCGGGCGCCTTGAATTCTGACCAGCCGGGACAGGAGGAGCCCCGCACCCCATCTCTTCCCCCCAAATGCCTGAGGAAACAGGACTGTTTCTCTTGCAGGATTCTGCTATGTAGAATTTGATGAGGTGGATTCCCTTAAGGAAGCCTTGACGTATGATGGTGCAGTAAGTATGAGCCTCTGGGTCCCCGGGCGTGCTGGTGGCGGCCATCCTCACTGCCCAGGCTCACACTGTCTCTCCTCGCTGTCAGCTGCTAGGTGACCGGTCCCTTCGTGTGGACATTGCAGAAGGCAGAAAACAAGATAAAGGTGGCTTTGGATTCAGGAAAGGTGGACCAGACGACAGAGGTGATTGGTTCTTCTAAAACCACTTAGATCCGCGGGTCCTTCGGGAGAACCGTTTTGTAGGTCTGGAAGGTTCCACCTGCATGGAGTGTCTGAGAACGCAGGTGGTGCTGTGAGCCGGGGTGGGGTGCGGGTGTTTGGGCTGGTGTGGCCGTGCGCTGACGCTCAGGAGTATCTGGTCCAACTCCCCACCCGGGAGCTCGTGTCTGCGGGACGCGGTGCCTCCATTGGACCCTCTGTATTGGGCGGGATTCCCGGGCGGGCACAGTTCCCATGTCAGAATCGCCTCATCATCACTTCCCTCTGCAGTGGCCTTTTGCTGCCCTGGAGCATTCTTTCTTGGGAGTGCTCACCTGGACGGGCCACCATTTTAGGTCCTCCACAAGGAAAGACCTGGTTGGCCTTGGAACCAGCTCCCTCGCTTAGTGCGGGTTAGAGGGCAGGAAGGACGTTTTCTCCCTGGTGGGGGTGGGGGTGCAGGTGTGGCTATGAGCCCCCCTTTCCTCCCTCCCCTTCTCGCCCACAGCCAGGCGGTCTGCAGCTCTGGGCTTGTTTCTTTTTCTTCTTTTTTTTTTTTTTCCCAATCACCCACATATTTAGTGGATGTCCATTGTAGCAGGTAGAAAATCAAAAGCAGCCTTCCTAGGAACCTCAGCTTCCCTCGCTCTTACTCTGCACTGTCTGGCTCTGGGGGGCTGGGCTGGTGTCCCCTCCCACCCAGGGGCCCGACTCAACTTTTCCCCGGCTCTGCCCACGCCGCCTGCCTTCAGGTCCAGGCCGGGCTAGCGTGCTAAGCTGAGGGCCGCGGCAGTGTCCGTGCTGGAACAGCTCGTTTCCAGAGCTGTTTCCGCCAAACAGGTAACTTGGATCTGTTGACAAATGTCAGTGTCTTAAAACCAGTCACAAATGAGCTTATTCATAAAAGAGTCTGGTCCAGGAGCTCTTTGCATGTTTTTCCTGTCCAGGAATTCTGTTTTCATGTTTTTCATGTTTTCATGTTTTCACCCAGCTGGGCCGGGTGGGAGCAGGCGACATCTCCCCTCCCAGCTGCAGGCTCTGGTGGCCGCTGCTTGGGGCTCTGGCCTTCCCGGCCCGCCGGTGCCCCTTGCCTCTGTGCCAGCTGGCGTGCTAGGCACCAGCCTGGGGCTTACCCTGTACCAAAAACACCAGGCAGAGAAGAGGCCACCGCCAGACCGGCCAGGGTCCGCTCCTTCCCTGAGGGATGGCGCGCTCGCGCTTCCTGCCGGACAGCCAGCTCCAGGGACCTGGTGTCCGTGCAGGGAGGGTCGGGCAGCCTGAGACCTGCTCAGCCCTCCCATGTTTTCTTCGCCCCGCGTGGTGGGGCCTCAGGCACACTGGACACGAGCTGTGCCACCAAGCAATCTGCCTGGCGGTCAAGGCTCGCCGACCGAGGCCATGAGCAGCCAGAGACTGGGCCCCCACCCTGTGGCCTCAGTGGCCCTGTGCAGGTGCCTCGTGTGGGAGCTGGGGGATGGCAGTGGTGGCCGAGCAGGCTCTGGGGGCGAGGTAGCGCCCAGGCGGAACACTGGGCAATGGCTGGTCCGGAGTCAGCTCGGAGTGCCAGGGGCCACGGGGCGCGCTGCTCTCAACACCCCCAGGGGCTGGCCAGGCCCCAGTGCTGTCCTCTCACCACCGCCCAGGGCTCGGGGGGGCCACTCCTGACCCTGCTTGCCAGGACCACTTGTCAGACCTCGGGAATCGAACCCGGGTCTGCTGCAGGCACAAGACAGGAGCCCTCCCCACTCCTAAGACATTCAGAAACTCCTCCTGCCCGCTGAGATTCCTGCAGGCCCTCGACTCTTCGGCCCTGTCCCTGGGGTTCTGGGAGTACTGGTCACCCAGCAGACACGCTTGGGGCTTGTGTCCGCTTGTGCCCAGTGCTGGGCAGACAAAAAACCATAAAGGCCCTCAAACAAAACCCTATGGCAGCACGGTGCGTGCGGCCTGAGCCGGTCCCGTCCAGTGAGTCACTGCCGCCTCTTCCTGCAGGCTTCCGGGATGACTTTCTGGGAGGCAGGGGAGGAAGCCGCCCAGGTGACCGACGAACAGGGCCCCCCATGGGCAGTCGCTTCCGAGACGGCCCCCCACTCCGGGGCTCCAACATGGACTTCAGGGAGCCCACAGAAGGTGAGGCTGGCCCTCGGGGCCGGGGGGCTGGGGTCCCGGGTGCGGGGCGGCCCTCCTGGACAGCTTGCGTTTCTGTCCCCAGAGGAGCGAGCGCAGAGACCACGACTCCAGCTTAAACCTCGGACAGTTGCGACGCCCCTCAACCAAGTAGCCAACCCCAACTCGGCCATCTTCGGGGGGGCCAGGCCCAGAGAGGAAGTCGTTCAGAAGGAGCAAGAATGAGCTTGTGGGCGGGAGGGAACGGGGTGCGGGGGCAATCGGAGCAAGACCACGGCCTGGCTGTCCCCGGAGCGGCGGCCCCGCGGCTGCCGGTCCTGCGCCCGACCTTTGCCCTCCCTTCTTACACCGGAAACACGGCTCGTGAGTGCATGTCAGCAGTGAGCAGGTGGTTCCGGCACATCCTCGGCCTCCTGCACCCCAGTACCGGCTGCTCCCTCTCCCCCTCTCTCCTTCTCTCCTCCTCCCCTCCCTTTCCCCTCCCCTCCCTCTCTTCCCTCCTCTCTCTCCGTCTCCTCTCCCTCTCTCCCTCTCTCCCTCCCTCTCTCTGCCCCTCGTCCTTCTGTCCCTCCCTGTCTCCTTTGGGCGCTCTGCGTCTCTGCGGGAGGAGTGGCCGTGGTGCGGCGTGCAGCGCCCCTCCCTGTGCTTTCCTCCTCTGCCCGCCGGAGCCCCCCGGAGCCCCCGGCCGCCCCTCTGTTCTCACCGCGCCTCCTCTGCCTGCACGCGGAGTTCTGCATTGCTGTGGCTTCCCAGAAGGCACCAGGGCCGGGGTCCCAGGCCGGGTCCCTTGGTCCCAGAACAAGGAGAAAGTGTCTGGGGGTCCCTGCAAATGTCTCCCTGCCCCCGTTTCTGTCGTCCTCTCTCCACTGCCCTCGCAGATGGATGGGCCGAGCAGAATCACCCCCCCCACCCCAGACAGGAGGGGGGGCGGGGTGGGGGACACGGCAGCACAGTGCTCAGGCCCTTCGGCTTCTGTGTGGCCACCGGGTGCCCTGGGCACCGCGTCCAGACCCGTCCTGCAGCGCCCCGGGCTGCCCAGTGCTGCGGGGGGCACGGCTGAGTGAGGGTGCAGACCCAGGGTCTCGTCACGCCTCGTCTGTCTGTCCCCGCATGGAGCACTGGCCCTGCGGTCAGGGGGTGGGGAGTCAGTGAGTCGGTGACTCCTGGCTATGTCCCCCCCTGCCAGGGGCTGCTTTTCTGAGCTGACACATGGGGTGAGCCAGGTCAGCGTTCTGGGGCCCCCCCGGAGAGTCGGGGCCCTAGCAGGAGCCCAGCCCGTGGGCGTGAGTGGGGCGGGTGCGCCGCGGCGTGCGTGGCCAGAGCTTTCTCCGGACTGGCCCCTCGGCCTCCCTCCCGCTGTCTCTGTCACAAGTCCCAGCAATGTGCAGAACTCTCCCTCCCTCCCACCTGTCATCTCTGCTTCTGAAATTAAGAACCATTTGTGTAACACCAATACTTAACTTAAGAAAGACGTGCATTGTGTGGTCGCGTCACCCGATGCTTTCAGATGACCTACTTACATCTCTAATGCGGAAAGATAAGAACAAACCAACTCATCACCACTCTGGGCAGCCCGGCTGACTTTTCCATGTAAGAATGGGATTCCAAACACTTAACACATTCAGCTATATGACAGAAAGAAATCTATGGATATGGTATTTTGTGAATGATCTTTTAAATAAAAGAAAACCTTACGTAATATTTAATGCTCGTCTGGGGTTCTTGGGCCACTGGGGACATCGGTGTTGGCTCTCCGGGGTCAGTGTCCTTCTTGAGAGGGGCACTGGGTGGGGGGCATTGTCGTGTGCTGAGACTCAAACCCCAGACCTGAATGCTCTTGGTGCACAACCGCGGCACCTAGAAACGGGTCGATTCTCCCCTTCCCCTCCGTGTCCAAAGTGTCCTTCCCCCTGGGGCTGGAGAGATAGCACAGCAGGTAGAGCGTTTGCCTTGCACGTGGCCGACCCGGGTTCGATTCCCAGCATCCCATATGGTCCACCGAGTACAGCCAGGAGTAACTCCTGAGTGCAGAGCCAGGAGTAACCCCTGAGCATCGCTGGGTGTGACCCAAAACAAAAAAGAAAGTGTCCTTCCCCCTATTGGTGGGGCAGGGACAGGTTGCCTTGTCGGCTTGCGTCCATCACCATCCTTACAGTGGGGGTCTGCACTGGTGGTCACAGTGCTGGCAGGTCCGGTATTGGCGAGGCCTTGAGAGGGTGGTGACTGGTCCTGTCCCAGGGAAGGGGGCCCGCTCCAAGGCTGTCTTCAGCTGCGGGGGAAGAGCTGCAGCTCTTGGGGCCGCGACCAGACTCTACAGCCTAGGCATGTCCAGTGACAGCCTTGTGACGCCTATGCCCTGGGCACAAGGAGCAGCTCTGCGTCCTAGTTGGCTCAGGCCCTTCACGAAGGTCCAGGAGTTGCAGGGAGTCAGGGTGTGGCACCCTTCCCTTTCATCGGAAAGAGCAGCCAGGAGTAGCGAGTGTATTCCTGGGGGACAAGTAACACCATGGATACGGCCCCGTGTGTGGCCCCGGCCCCCACCTGCTCACCCAGATGTTCCCAGCCCTTTAGAATAAAGGTCGAGGGGGCGAGCGACATACAGCAGGGAGCAGGTGGCCCAGCCCTGAGAGATGACTCTGGGGGCCGGGGGGTCTCAGTAGGCCGAGCACGAGCAGCACACGCCAGAGTCCAGGTTTGATTCCTGAGCGACCGGGTGTGGCCTTAGGAAGAGGCAGGTTGGTCGCATGTGAGGCAAATGCCCTACCCGCTGTGCTATTGCTCTAGCCCCAACCTGAGTTGACTTTAAAGAAACAAAATGCTATTTCAGGGCCAGAGCAACAATGCAGTGAGTAGGGCGTTTGCCTTGCACATGACCAACCTGGGTTCGAGCTCTGGCATCCCATATGGTCCCTTGAACACTGCCAGGAGTAATTCCTGAGCTCAGAGCTATGAGTGATCCCTGAACTCACACACACACACACACACACACACACACACTGAGTGATCCCTGAGCTCACACACACACACAGAGCCAGGAGTAATTCCTGAGCTCAGAGCCATGAGTGATCCCTGAGCTCACACGCACACACGCACACACACACACTGAGTGATCCCTGAGCTCACACACACACACACACACACACACACACACAGCCAGGAGTAATTCCTGAGCTCAGAGCCATGAGTGATCCCTGAGCTCACACACACACACGCACACACACACACACACTGAGTGATCCCTGAGCTCACACACACACACTGCCAGGAGTAATTCCTGAGCTCAGAGCCATGAGTGATCTCTGAGCTCACACACACACACACACACACACACACACACACACTGCCAGGAGTAATTCCTGAGCTCAGAGCCATGAGTGATCCCTGAGCTCACACACACACACACACACATACACACACACACCCCATGCACTATTTTAGGGGCTCGAGCAGGGAGGGTCCTTTCCTTTCATGTGCCTCACCCAGGTTTGATCCCCAGCACCTTATATGGTCCCCCAGTCTCCATCAGGAGTGATCCCTGAGTGCAGAGCCCTGAGCACTGCCAGGTGTGGCCCCCAAACAAAAACTAGACTGAGTCATCTCTTGATACAGCGTTGATCATTATTGCCTGCCAAGACTAAGGAAATGGTCTGTGTCAGTTGCACATGGTGATTCCAGAACTACGTTTCAGGGGCCCGGCAGACAAGTCCAAGCAGTGTACCACGGGCTGCGTGTACAAGGCCCCTAGTTTGGTCCCTGACTGCCCGCCAGCATCACCAGGCCAAGTCTCACCAGGAGTTTGCCAAGAGCCCCAGCCCCAGTAAATGAATTTTCTTTTTTTTTTTTTTCCTTTTTGGGTCACACCTGGCGGTGCACAGGAGTTACTCCTGGCTCTGCACTCAGGAGTTACTCCTGGCGGTGCTCAGGGGACCATATGGGATGCTGAGAATTGAACCCGGGTTGGCCGCGTGCAAGGCAAACGCCCTACCCGCTGTGCTATCTCTCCAGCTCCCTAAATGAGTTTAAAAACATAATTATAGGGGGCTGGAGCGATAGTACAGCGGGTAGGGCGTTTGCCTAGCACGTGGCCGACCCGGGTTCTCTTCCCAGCATCCCATATGGTTCCCTGAGCACCGCCAGGAGTAATCCCTGAGTGCATGAGCCAGGAGTAACCCCTGTGCATCGCCAGGTGTGACCCAAAAAGCAAAAAGTAAATAAAAGCATAATTGTAGCACTGGGTCTTTTTAAAACTACCTAGAAGGACAGAGCGATAGTACAGCAGGTCCAGCCCTGCGTGTGCCCCCGGCCCCATCTGGTCATCGGTCACCAGCGAGCTGGTTACCCAGGTGCCCCCACGCCCTTTGGAATAAGGCCAAGAAGGCGAGTGACAGCACAGCAAGGAGGGTGTTTGCTGTGCGCACGGCCAACTGGGGTTCAATCCCTGGTATCCTATACCGCCCCCCCAAATCCCACCAGGAGTGACCCCTCAGCACCACCAGGTATGGCCAAAGGAAAAAGAGACAGGCCCCAGAGGACAGAGACCCTGGGGTCCTGGGAGGACAGGGACCCAGATGCAGGGGTCAGAACCAGGGGGGATGGGGACCCGAGGACAGGGACACGAAGGACAGGGCCCCGGGGGCGGGGACACGGAGTGTGTGACAGATTTGAGGAGACTCCCGTGTCCTGAGTAACTCCCAGGTCGGCCTGCAGGTGGCGCCCGCAGGTCCCAGGTTAGCGGGAAGGCAGCGGTTTGTTCAAACATGATTTTTTTTTTTCCCAGTTTTTATTAGTGAGACATCATGAGGTACAGTTGCAGACTTACAAATTTTTGTGCTTGAGTTTCAATTATACGATGATCAAATACCCATCCCTCCACCAGTGCCCATTTTCCATCACCATGGATCCCAGTATCCCTCCCACTCCCCATCCCCCCATCCCATCCTGCCTCTGTGGCAGGACATTCCCTTTTGCTCTCTCTCTCTTATTGGGTGTTGTGGTTTGCAAAAGAGGCAATGGGTGACAATCACAAACATGATTTTTTGGTTTGTGTTTCTGTTATGGGGCCGCCCCGGCAGGGCTCAGGGGTGACTCCTGGCTCTGCTCTCAGGACTTCTTCCTGGCAGACCCGGGGAAATCGATGGGATGCCGGCGATCATCGGCACGTGCAAGGCAAGTGCTCCGGCCCCCAAAGGTGAATTCTGGGTCCCAGCGGGCGTGCATGGGGAACCCGGCCTCTTGCGTGCTTGGCTGCGGGTGAAACATACCCAGGAGCACTGGGACGTGTTCACCCGGACATGACAGTCTCGCCTCATAGCTGGTTTTCAGTCGCAACTGAACAGTTGATAAATCAACCTGGAGGCATCTAAGACGGGCCCCACTGGAGCTGCAGCGTCTGCGGCCGAAACTCGGGTTCGAGCAGGTCCTGGCTCTGGTCTCTGGGCAGAGTCGAGCTGCACTGGGCCTCTGCGGGATCACTGCATGCCCGCGTGAGGGGCAGAGCGTGGACCCCTGGCGCTGGGTGGGGTCTCCCTCCTGAGTCCCCCCAAACCAGCCCCGGGGAGGCCCGGGTGGGCCCTCAGGGGCCAGGGCAGGCAGGGAAGTCCGGGGTGGGGGGGCACGTGTGGCCCCGGACTTGTGTCTCATGGGGGGCCAGGGGGTGCGCAAGGGCCCTGTGGCGAGCTGGCGCGGTGTCAGGAGGGATGGGCATGCAGTCTGCTATCAGGCCATTCCCTCGCCCCATCTTCCGAGCCGGTGGGAGTGTCCAGCCATCCTGCTCCCAGACAGGTCCAGGACTCGTGTCCTGCGGGCTCACGACCCGGAGTCGCAGCCCGGCACCACCTGCCCCTGGGTCCTCACCGCGGGTTCCCCACGCACGCCCGCTGGGACCCAGAATTCACCTTTGGGGGCCGGAGCGCTTGCCTTGCACGTGGTCGACGATCGCCGGCATCCCATCGAGTCCCCTGGGTCTGCCAGGAGGAAGTCCTGAGTGCAGAGCCAGGAGTGACCCCTGAGCCCTGCCGGGGTGGCCCCATAACAGAAACACTAACAAAAAATTCATGTTTGAACAAAACGCTGCCTTCCCGCCAACCTGGGACCCGCGGGCGCCACCTGCAGGCCGACCTGGGAGTTACTCAGGACACGGGAGTCTCCTCAAATCTGTCACACACTCCGTGTCCCCGGCCCCCCCCCCCCCCCCCCTGGCCCTGTCCTTCGTGTCCCTGTCCTCGGGTTCCCATCCCCCCTGGTTCTGACCCCAGAATCTGGGTCCCTGTCCCCCCAGGTCCCCCGGGTCCCTGCCCCCTGGGCCCACTTTGTACGAGTCTTCCCTGGGGCAGCGCCAACAGTGAGACCCGCCCTGTGGCTCTGTCACTCGGTCCCGTCTCTGCACCCCTCTGTCCTCGCCTATGCTTCCCAGGCTCTCCACATCCCTCTCCCTGCGGGCCCAGCCTCCCCCGCCTCCGCTCGCCTGTCTCTGTCTCTCTCTCTCTGTCTCCGTCTGTGTGTGCCTCTCTGTGTCTCTCTGTATCTAAATCTCTCTGTCTCTCTGGCTCTGTCTGTCTCTGTCTCTTTCTGTCTCTGCCTGTCTCTGTGTCTCTGGTGTCTCTCTCTGACTCACTGTGTCTCCTCTGTCTCGTCTTTCTGTCTGTCTGTCTCTGTCTGCTTCTGTGTCTCTGTCTCTCTGTGTCTCTCTCTCTCTCACTGACTTTCTCTGTTTCTCTGTCTCTCTCCGTCTCTCTCTGTGTCTCAGTTTCTCTCTCTCAGTCTCTGTTTCTGTTCCCCCTGTCCCCGTCACTCTGACCATCTGGCCCGACCGGATGTGGGGTGCTCGGGGCGCCCGAGAGGCAGGAAGTGGCTGTGGGAGTCCAAGTCGAGCAGCCCCGCAGGTGTGAGGGTCAGAATGGGGCCGCAGTGAGGGGACCCCAGCTCTCAGGTAAGCTGCCCCAGACCCCATCCTGGCCCGCTGGAGGGTCCAATGCCCTGAACTCCCCGCCCTGGGCCTGGTACTGGCTGGGGGGGCCCCACCCCAATCCTGTGGCCTCCAGTTCTGTGAAGCCTCCAGGGGCCCGTTCTGGCCAGATACGAGAGGGCGTAACCCCACAGGCCCTCATCCCCCTGCACCCCTCCCTGGGGTGTCAGCTCCCCGCCTGCCTCTGCGGGAGCCCCTGGTGCTTGGGAAGCAGGAGGGGCTGCAGGGTGGGGACGAAGGCCTGTCCTCGCCCTGCATTCGGCTGTGGGCCCCGGGCCCCGGGATGGGGACTGAGTGTCCCCTGGGCCCCGCCGGGTGCCGCTCACTGCTTGCACAAACCCAGAACGGCCGCCGCCGGGACTGAGGCTTCCCCTTCCGCTATCAGGCTGAGCCTGAGGGGCCTGGACGAGAGGGGGGTTCTGCTGGACGGCGAGGTTGGAGGGGCAGCGGGGTAGTGCGGGTCCAGCCCCACGGGGCCAAAGTTTCTCCGGGTTCTAGAAGCACCTTTGGGAAACGGGCAGGAGCATGGCCAGAGGCACCAGGCCTGGCCATGCCACCTGAGGGCCCTCTGGGGACACCCTTTGTTCCTCGGAAGAGGGGCCACGTCACGGCCTGGGGCCCCTGGCCGGCTCCAGGCCCCAGGGGGCCCTTGAGCTTTGGGGACTCACAGACGCCCGCCAAGTCCTGGGCACTGGGTGCCTACCGTGGCCTTGCCATCCCTTCCTTGTCGTCCTTGCCATGGGGTTGTGGAGATTCAGGGGATCTGAGGATCTGAGCACTGGGTGAAGGGCTCTGACCCCGAGTCCCATCCCCCACCTCCTCACCTTCCCCAGTGCGGACAGAAGGAGCCCCCAGGGTGCCCATCAGCCCCTCAGAGGCTCTCGTTCCCTCCCCTCCATGATGGCTACCGTCTCGTGTGTCCCAGACGGTCCCGTCCAGTGGGATCTCCCTGGACTCTTCTCCTAGCATCACTCCCCCCCAGCTCTGCATAGGACACCCCGCTCCCTCAGGCACACCTCCTCCAAGAAGCCTTCCCTGACCTTCCTCCTGTACCCATGTCAGAAGGAATCTGGGACGCAAACTTTGGAGGACTGGAAATCCCACCCAGCTCCCCCAGGATGGAGCAGAGAACCCCAGAGACTGACTGAGGGGCGAGGGGGGGCATCCTGAGTCTCCAAGCTGAGGGAAGGGCACAATCTGGTCTCCAGGAAGTGAGGGCATGCGTCCGGCGGAGTCGGGGGCGTCCAGGAGCAGACCTGGGGCGTCTGCGGGGCCTCCAGCCTCAGTCACCTCAGCTGGGCTCGGATGGGGAAGTGATTCCAGAACCTTCCAACGCTCCCCAAAGTGACGACGGTGCTGGGGTGGGGGGGGCTGGGCCGGGGAGGAGCCTGACGGGTGCCCCATGTTGCAGCCTTGCAGGGTCGAGGCTGCCGGACATGGACGTGGCGGCCGAGCTGCTGGGTCTGGGAGCAGCGCTGCTGGTGTTGCTGGGGGCCGTGGCCAGCCTGTGCGTGGGCTGCTCCCGCAGGGGTAAGGCGCCGTCTTGGGCGGGTGGTGGGAGTGGGGGCGGCATGCAGGGTGAGGGCCCTCTCGCGGCTTCTGTGTGTCTGGGACTCAGCCCTTTTCTGCCTCCTGGGCTGCCGGGGTCCTGAGTCCTGCCCATGGGTGACGCCCGCTAATCCAGCCTGTTTCACAGGGGGAAAGAGGTCGGAGAAAATCCTGGAGCAGAGCAGCCTGTGAGTGTCGGGGACCCGGGGGCTCCTCATCTCCCAGGCTCGCATGGGCAGGGAGCATGGGGGGGGTCTGGCCGCGGGGGGGGCTCCTGGGAGCATCGCCAGAGTTTCCCATGGCCCCCAGGGCCTCCCGGCTGGGGCTTGGTATAAGGGCACACAGCGTCCAGCTCATAGCTGATGCTAGGGACCCCCCAGACAGTGCCCCCAGGGCTCTAGGGGTCCCCCTGGGGATCAGGGGGGCTTGACAGAGGCAATGGTGGGGTTTAAGGAAAGTTGGTGGGAGGGGCATTGGGCGAGCAGTGACCGGGTGGGGATGGGGTGGGCACTGTCCCCAGAAGGCAGCTGTGGTTGAAGGTTTCTCTCCCCAGGGCCTTGAGGGCTGGGCTCGGGCAGAGCTTGGCCAGGGGGCTGGGTTGGGCTGGCCGCAGTGTCCGGCAGACTGTGGCATCCAGAGCGGCCGGCCCGGGAAGCCTTGTGGTCTGGCCGTGGAGCATGACGGGACTTGTCTTCACACCCGTCACCCGGCTGCCCTAGGGCCCACGAGTGACTTTATAAATACCCACATGGGCCCAGAGAAAAGTTCCCCCCACCCCCCCACCCCCGCGCAGGGAGCAGGAGTGTCGCTGGGCAGTGCACACACACACCCCTTTCTCATTTCCTCCCACAACTGAAAACCCGCCCTGAGATTTGAACAAGAACACCCTGGGGGCAGCCAGACCTTTCCCGGGTTGTTGGGGCGCCCGCCCTGTGGCTGCCTGCCCCTCCCCCCCCCCCCATGCCAGGCAGACCTCGGGAATCCCACTCCCCGCCAGACCCTGCCCCTGCCCCCCTGCCCCACCTGCCCTGCCGGACTGAGAATCAGGCTCTGCCAGGGCCCCCCGCCCCCCGCTGCTGTGTGGGGGTCAGGTCAGTGGGGGTGGGGTGGGAGGGGGTTGGGCTCTCCCTCCTCCTCACTTGCGTCCTGGCCTGGCGGCCTGCAGGGTGAGACTCAGTGCACCCAAGGGCCCGTGCCAGCAGCACCTCCTCTGGGCAGCCCTGCCTTCAGAAGCCACTTCCTTCCTATAGCAGGTCACCTTTCAGGGGCACTGACAGGCCGGGCCAGGTACTCACTCTGGTCTGCGGGCGAGCCTGAGAGTTTGTCAGGGTTTTCTCATGTCCTCTCTCCTTCTTAGCGGTGGCTTATGGATGCCTCCTGTCCCAAACTGGCGGCTGGTGCACCAGCCCTCATCTCTACATTCCAGGCAATAAGAAGAGAGAAAGGAAATGGAAAGAAAGGGTGCAGCCTCAGTGGGCAGGGCTCCCTGGAGTAGTTGTCCCGGAAGTTCCAACAACTGAGGATTGTGTCACGGACCAGTTTATCTTAGGCACCGAGGCACCAGGGAGGCTGGGAGGTGGGGTCCTGACCGCAGGGACAACTGCAGGGGATCCCAGCCTCATCAGGGAAGGGGCCTGACTGGTGTGTTCAAGCGCCCCATGGGAGGTGCATGCTTGTGTGCGCGCTCTCTCCTTTCTCCCTCTCTCCCTCTCTCTGCACTCAGGAATCACTCCTGGCGGTGCTCAGGTGACCCTATGGGGTGCCAGGGACCAAAGCCATGCCAGCTGCGCATAGGGCAGGCGCCTCCCGACACTGCTTGGGTCCCGGCACGTGCCCTCCCAGGGCTGCAGGCACCTCTCTCTCTCTCTCTCTCTCTCTCTCTCTGTCTCTCTCTCTCTCTCTCTCTCTCTCTCTCTCTCCTGCTTAAGCCTCATCCCTGAGCGGCTGTCAACAGAGTCTCTCCCAGGCACCATGCAGAGGGCGTGTATGGGTGTATGGGGGGCCTCTCCTCACCCCGACCACCCCTCTGTGCTCCCACTTGCCCCCAGCATCCAGCATGCCCCTCTGCTCCCTTCCAGGCCCGAGGACCAGCAGAGCTTTGTGGTGTCTCAGACCTACTCCGGTGAGTCCCAAGCGGCCGGGACAGGACAGGACAGGGGACGACCCCGCAGACATAGAGCTGCTAGGGACTCCACCGGCTCCCATCATTCCCGGCGCTCCACACCCCTTTGGTTTATAGTATCAGAAAGAAGGCCAGGCCCGAGAGATGTCCAGGGAGTGAGACTCTTGCTTTGCACGTGGCTGGCCCTAGCCTAGTTTGATCCCCAGCTCTGCATGTGGGTCCCTGTGCCCTGCCGAGCGCGATCCCTGAGCAGAGCTGGGAATAGCCCCTGATGCTGTTAGGTGTAAACACACCCACACACACACACACACACACACACACACACACACACACACACACCCCGCATATAAATATTAATAGCATTAAGAGAGGACAAGAAAATATAGAAATAAAAACATTGGTACAGGAGCAATAGACAGTGGGGAGGGCGTTTGCCAACCGGCACTCAAACCCCAGCATTCCACAGGGGCCCCCGAACCCACCAGGATTCCCGAGTACAGGAGGGAGCCCTGAACCCAGTAAGGTTCACAAAGTCTGGTGGGAGGTGATGGGTGGGGTGCAGACGCTGACGGGGTGGGGGTTGCTTGGCTGGATCCTGGTGTTGGTGGATCCCAGCACTGTCAAGAGTCACCCCTGAGCACTGCCGATTGTGGCCCGAAAACAAAAGCCCAGAGAAAGACTGAGACCCTGAGACTCAGCCCCTGAAACTGAGACCCCGAGACTGAGACCCTGAGACTGAGACCCTGAGACTCAGCCCCCAAGACTGAGACCCCGAGACTGAGACCCCGAGACTGAGACCTCGAGACTGAGACCCCTGAGACTCAACCCCCGAAGACTGGGACCCGAGACTGAGACCCCGAGACTCAGCCCCCGAGACTGAGACCCTGAGACTGAGACCCCGAGACTGAGACCTCGAGACTGAGACCCCTGAGACTCAACCCCCGAGACTGGGACCCCAAGACTGAGACCCCGCGACTCAGTCCCCGAGACTGAGACCCCCGACACTGAGCCCCTGAGGTGAGGCGGGGCAGCGGTGGGCCCAGGGGAGGGTGGGGTATGTGTGGAGCCAGGAACAACCCCCGCCTCCTCTGCAGTGATCACGCAGGCCTGTCCAGGGGCCTCGATGGACTCGATCCCTGAGGTGAAGTCAGCCAGGTAGGGGGGTCCCGGTCCCTGGGAGGCCACTGGGGTCCCGCCTGGCTGAGGCCTGTGTTCCTTCTCCCCACACACCCCAAGCTCTGTGGCGCCTCTGGGTTGTCACGCTCAGGCCCCCCTCGAGCCCCTCCCTTGGATCCCTACCCCATCACCCCCCTGCCCACCCACAGGAAGGACAAGTTGCTGCTCTTCTCCCCTGCTGTGGAGGGTGAGTGGGGGCACCTCGGGGACCCAGCAGGAGGGCGGGCACTGGGTGGGGGCCCGTGCCCTGCCCTGTGGAGCCACGAGCCTGGCCTCCCTCTTGCAGAACCCGAGTGCTCCAGGTACCAGAACTCCAGCAAAGGTAGGTGGGCTCGGGGGCAGTGGTGTGGCGTGGAGGGGGCTGCCCCCAGCCTCACAAGCACCACCTCCTACAGGAAGCCGCCTGGGTTCAGACACCGCCTACATGTGAGTCACCCCTGGCTCCCCCCTCCCCCGAGGACACAGGCCGGGACTTTGGGGGAACGAGGCTGGCCCTATGTGGGGGGGGGCCTTTAAGGGGGGGGTCTTCTTGCTCCATGGACACTGGCAGCACTTGGCGCTCCCCTGCTTCAGAGGGGCGCACTGATGCCTGGAGCAGGCGAGGATTTGAGTCCCTCCACTGGGTCAGGCTGCCACCCGCGGTCCTAGAGCTTGGAGGGTGAGGAGGGACCTCGGGAGCAGTCCCTCCTCACTGCCCACCCCAATTGCCCCTTCTCTGCAGAGACCCCCTCCCCAAGCACTGTTACAACTGGGGACGCCACCGGGAGTCCCCAGGAGGTGAGGCAGCGTGGGGGGGGGGGCAGGGGAGGTGCCCTCGGGACTGACCCTCAGGGTTGGGGGCGGTGTGGGCCGGAGGCACCAGGACCCAGACCCCCCAGGCCCTGCAGAAGGCGGGCAGATGTGTCCCTCACACCCCCTGCCTGGTCCCGGCTCCTGTCCTGGTCTGGGGGGCCCCTGCTGGCTCCCGCTAGCCCTGGGGGACTCCTGGGGGGTGGCGGGGGCTGGGGACGCCCATGCCCAGGACTCTGTACCCCGCAGAGGATGACGATGCCGCCTCCTACGAGAACGTGCTCATCTGCAGGCAGGACCCCGATTCCGGTGAGGCCGCTGAAGCCCCCCCCTGCCCTGCGTCTGACCCAGGGGGACCCCCATCCCTTCCTCCCCTTGGGGTCTGCCAACCCCTCCCAGCGTGGCCATGTGTACAGGTGATGAGGCCTCCGAGGATTACCAGAACTCAGCGTCCATCCAGCGCTGGCGCCAGTCCAGGGGGCGCGTGGGTAGGTGGCAGGGGCAGCCCCGGGCATGGCCCCCCCAGGACATGTCTGTCCCAGCCCCGCCTAGCCTTGAGGTGGGGTGCCCGCCTGCCCGCCTGGCCTGGGCTTGGTTGGGGCTCTTGGCTTAGCAGCTCTCAGGGGAGAGCGGCAGGACCGTGGGTAGGGCCGGCCCAAGTCCAAACGGTCCCTGGATCTCGCCTGGGATGACTCCTGGGCAGGACTTGGGGATGGAGCCTGGGGGTTCGTACAGATGGCGCACCCCATCTCAAGGCATCTTTGCACACAGAGCCGGCCCAGAGGGAGGATGAGGATGAGGAGCCAGATTATGTGAACAGGGACATGATGTCTGCAGAGGCCTAAGGGGCTGTGAGCAGGTACGGGGCTGACACAGCGGCCCCCAGCCCAGGAACCCCCTAACAGCCACCAGGTTCCTGGGCCATCTGCGCTGGCCTGAATGGGCAGCCCAGGGGGGTGGGTTCACCGCCCCCCTTCCTCGACGGCCTCAGGAGGTGATGGGGCCCAGGGGTTTGGCAGGGGTAGTTTTAGGTCCCCATGGGAAGCTGTTGGGTGTCTGCTGGGGCACAGGGAGACCCAGTGGACAGGCCACAGGGGACAGACGGGGGGCTGTGGGAGCCTCGGGCCCTTCCAGTTGGGGACGCCCTGCCCAGAGGCCACCACGGGACCCTGAGGAGGGTCCCTGGGTGCCACGCCCACACCCCAGCCTTGCCTCTGGCCAACCACCTGATTCCGCTTCAGGGAGATGTGATGACTGCACCCTTTGGGTCCCCGCGGGAACCATCGTGGGCGCTGGGCTCTTTGGCTTCGGACCTGGCTCCAGTCACTCACGTCGGCGACGCAACAGCCGTGCTGGCCACGCGCTTTACAAGGGAGAGCGTGTTTCTCGTGGTCCACCTTCGGGGCTGCTTTCCCGCAGCGTTCCCTGTTCCTCAGTCAGCCCTTGGGGGCTCCTTGGGGGGTGCCCGGGGGCCACACCCTACCCGGCAGGCACACAACACCCCGTCGGCCGTGAGCGGGCCAGGTGGAGTGGAGGTGCTGCCCCCACAGCCCAGAGGGGCCTCTGGAGTCAGGCACAGCCAGGGACGAGAGTGCCGCTCCCAGGGGCCCGAGACACAGCCTGGCAGGCACTGGCTTTGCACGCGGTGCCCGCGGCCCCGGCTGGCACCGAGCAGGGTGCCCCGAGCAGAGCCAGGGCTAGGCACAGAGCATGATCGCATGCATCCAACCCTCCTGATAAAGAAAAGCCTTTTGGCTGAATTCATCAATAAATTCCATCGTCTCAGAGAAACCCCCGTGTCTGCTGTCCGTGTTCCAGAAAAAGGGGTGAAGGGATCTAGGTTAAGAGGTGTGTGCAGGGAGAGGGCTGGGCAGCTCAGTGGGAGGTGCAAGCCTTACCCCAGGCTGGGTCACTTAGGATGTTCCCTCAGAACCGAACACCTCACAACAGGAAATCAGTGCAAACCCACCACAGGCAGCAGGCTACAGGCAGGAGGGACCCCTGTGGGTGTGAAGACAGGGCTCCCCCCGACCCCTGAAGACCAGGCCTCACAGAGCTGGGGGAGAGGAAGTGGGCCTTTCGCGCAGAATTTTGTCGTTTCTGGGCCACACTTGGCAATGCTCAGAGGTTACTCCTGGCTCTGCACTCAGGAATTACTCCTGGTGGTGCTCAGGGGACCATATGGGATGCTGGGGATGGAACCCAGGTTGGCTGCAGGCAAGGCAAACGCCCTACCCGCTGGGCTATTGATCCCGCCCCAGTTTTGGGCAATTTTTGGTTTTGATTTAACACCTGGCGGTGCTCCTGGCTCTGCACTCGGGGATCACGCCTGCGGGGCTCGGGGGACCATATGGGTGGGTGGGGACTGAACCCGTCTGGCCGTGTGCAAGACGTGCGCCCTCCCCTGCTGTACCCCACGGTTCTATTTTTATGTACAGTGCTGTTTCCTGATTTAAGAAAATGAAGAAGTACCTTGTGAAGAGAAAACAGCATACAGAGGAATTTAGAATTCACTGGGGAATTTTTTCGAGAGCTGCAGGCGGGCACTGCCCTGCATGGGCACCCCCACCCCAGGCCCTGGCCCTGCCCACAGGATGCTCAGGGGACAATATGGGGCCTGGGTGATTGAGCCCAGGTCAGCCACCGTGCCCAAGGCCAGCACCCACCCCACTGTGCTGTTGTCCCAGCCCCTGGCCAGGGCTCAAGAAACCGCAGTGCTGCCGACACGCTGAGGGGACACAGGTTTATTTATTAGCTCACATGCCACAGCTGCCGGCCAGGCCGCCTGGAGCCCCGGCTAGCTGGCCACGGGGGCCATGGTTCTCTGGCACAGCCGGGCGAGCAGCCCCGCCATCTGCAGCAGCGAGTTGACGCCTTCTGTGATCTTCATGTGCGTGTACCCGATTTCCTAGGAGACAAGCCGGGGGCCCGATGAGCTCGTTGCAGGAGAGCTGACTCCCTAGGCGCAGTGCTCAGGGCCGACTCCCAGCTCAGCGCTCAAGGATCACTCTGGGTGGGGCTTGAGCCCTGGGCCAGCCGGGTACAGGGACGGTGCCCTCTATGCTGGAATCTCCTGCCCTGGAATCATGTTTCTATCTGAATTAACGCTGTGCTCAAAATCTGTGCAGGAAATCACAGTCCAGCAGGAGAATGGACGCTAGGCAATAAGGAGAGTACAGCGTGGTCAGTCCAGGCTTGACCCTTGAGCGCAGCCTGAGTGCTGCAGAGTGTGGCCCCAAAACAAACAACAGAATGTAATGAGTTATGGGTTGGCTTTTTTTTCTCCCTGCTTTTAAAGATGTTCAGGGGTTACTCTTGGCTCTGCATTCAGGAATTACCCCTGGCGGTGCTCGGGGGATCACATGGGATGCCAGGAATCGAACCTGGGTCTGCCATGTGCAAGCAAACACCCTACTTGCTATATTACTGCTTTGGCCTATAGTGTGCTTTTTTTTTTTTTTTTTTTTTACTTTTTTTAAAGCTGTTTTAACTATAGGTCCATTTCTTTCTTTCTTTTTTTTTTTTGGTGCCACACCCGGCGATGCACAGGGGTTACTCCTGACTCATGCACTCAGGAATTACTCCTGACGGTGCTCGGGGGATCATATGGGATTCTGGGAACCGAACCCGGGTCGGCCGCGTGCCAGGCAAACACCCCACCTGCTGTGCTATTGCTCCAGCTCTATAGTTCCATTTCATCCTTTAAAAGTATGTCATTTCTGGGGGCCAGAGCGATAGTAAGTGGTAAAGTGCTTGTCTTGGGCCCGCTTTCTGGGAGGGGCAGTTCCGGTGGTACCCGGGGTTGTGACCCACTGCCCAGCCCCCACCAGGCAGAGCCCTTCCACGCTGCTGGGGTGCTCTCCCGCCAGGGGGTTTCGGTCCGTAACGTCCCAGGGGGTCAGGCCCGTCTCCTGGACGCGCTCACCCACCTTGATGAACTCTAGTTTCAGGTACTCGGCCATCTGGAAGGTCTTGCACACGCGGAAGATGTTGCCGATGACATCCTCCGGGGAGTAGCCCAGGTGCCACAGGTGTGCCAGGATCTGGGGGGGCACCCGCGGGTGTGAGCAATGCTGGGACCGAGAGCGTCTCTCTGCCTCTTGCCGCCTCCTGCATCCCCACCTGCTCCCGCCGGGCCGGACACCAGGGGCTGGAGTCGGGGCCTCTGGCCATGACCTCCGACTGGGGGATGCTGACCCAGGAGCAGCTGTGCCCGTATCCGAGGCTTCTCTGGGTTATGCCTCTGGGTCTCTGCCTCAGTCTCCCCACTGTGCACGCCAGGCCCAGCCTGTAACCATGCCGGCTGGGAGATGGGGCAGGGACGGCTGCGTCCACCCTGAGGGTCTGATTCATGCCACCACCACCCAGGTGACATTTGTGAGACGATCCACCGTCTCCCCCCCACCCCACCCCCTGGCCGAATCTCCAAATCTGCTCTTGTGGGTCAGGCTGAAACACTGCTGGTCCCGGGATACCCGCCGCCAGATACCTCAGCAGAGGGGGCGTCTCCCGCAAGGAGACAGGCTGAAGGGAGGGTGGGGGTCACAGGCCTGGCCCGAGCCCGGTCACGAACTGTTATTAATGTATTACTGGGTTCTGAGACATACCTAACAGTGCTCAGCGCTTACTGCTGGCTCTGTGCTCAGGGGTCACTCCTGGTGGGGCTCAGGGACCATACGGGGTGCTGGGGACCCAGCCGGGTTGGCCACAGGCAAGGCAAGTACCCCCCCCCCCTCCGATGTTATCATTATTTGCTGCGGCTGCTGTACTGCTGCTCCCTGCCGGCCACCCACTCTCTGCCCCTGTGGCTGGCTGGGAGCTGGCAGGGCCCTGGGGGCTCCCCGCGAGGGCTTGTGGGTGGGGCCCACCTTGTAGGCCTCGTCGATGTCGGCGTTCACGCAGTGCTGCAGCATCTCCTTCACCAGCAGCGGGTGCGGCTCGTCACAGACCTGCCCCGGACCAGGGAGGCCGTGAGGGGCCAGGGTAGGCGGACCCTGGAGCCCCCTGACCCCACAACAGAGGGGTACGGGGCCAGTGTGATTTGCAAGGCACAGCGGGACCAGAGGGGAAGCAGCCGTGGCAGTGCAGGCCCACCCCCGCCCCACTGGCGGGAACTGCCCCCCCAGGAGGAGGAGGAGGAGAGCCCCTGCCCCGGCTTGTCACCTCCTGGAGACCAAGCCGCCCACCGGCCCGTGGCCCAAAGCCCATCATCCAGCCCCAGGCCAGGTCGATTGTGCCCCGGAGCACCTAGCCAGCCCTGGGCCCATCCCCTGACCCGCCCCCCCCCCCTCCCCCCGCCGTGGTCCCCAGAGTCCTCAGGGCTCTGCTCTGGGGGGGGGGGGGATGGGACGGTGGGCTTTCCCAGAAGTGACTGTCCCTAATGTCCCGGGAACATTCGGGCCAAGGGCGGGACCCCTTGAGCTGGGGAGGAAGACGGGGCTCTGCAGAGCCCCGTAGGGTCAGAGCAATGGACCCCCAAGCAGGGCCATGGACCCTCCACACCAGTGCCAAGACACCACAGCAACAGTGGGAAAGCTTCCTGCTCTGACGGGGAGGGGGGCGGGCCCGACTGGGCAGGCGCATCCACCCCGAGGCTCCCAGGGGCACGCCTAGAGCAGCCCCTGTGGGAGACACGGCAGACTTGGAGGCCCAGTGCGACCAGGGCAGTGACCGCGGCCAGCTGCCCCCCACGGGGACGACCCCCTCCGCCCCCCCGGGCCCCCATTCAGCCCCATACCTTGAACACGTTCTCGCTGTTAATGTAGCCGAAGCCCGAGAAGGTCGACTGCAGGTTGTTCAGAGCCTGTGGGGGAGCCGGGTGCGGGCTGAGCCCCCCTGCCCCCCCGCCCCGAGGCCCGCAGTCCCCACTGTGCCCAGGACCGGCCGGCCGCACCTGCCGCATGTCCCCCTGCGCTGTGAAGACGATGGCCTCCAGGCCGTCATCGGTGTGCGGCACCTGTTCCAGCTCGATGACGCGTAGCAGCCGGGCCAGGACCTGCGCGTCCGTCAGCTTGGAGTAGCGCAGCACGGCGCAGCGGGACTGGATGGGCTCTGGGGGGAGACGGGGTGTGGGGGGCCCAGCCAGCACACCAGGTCCACCCCCGGGACCGGAGGGGAACGGCAGGGACAGATGAGATGGGGACGCGGGAGCAGGGAGCGGGGCCTGCAGGCTGGGGACCCCTCTCCAACCACGCAGGCGAGTATTCCAACTAGCCATGACACTCCCCTTTGTCAGAGAACCAGCAAAGGTCTGCTGGGGGGGGGGGGGGAGGGGGGAATTTCCACGCGTCAGAAGAGGCGGCCAGGCCTTGGGGAGAGCACCAGCCTGGCCCGTGGCCGACCCAGGTGTGATCCCCGGCATCCCACAGGGACCCCTAAGCACCCCAGGAGTGACTCCTGACATAGAGCCAGGCGTAAGCCCTGAGCACTGCTGGGTGTGCCCCCCAGAGAGAGTGAGAGGGCGGGGGCGAGCGGGGATTCCCCAAGTCGGGCCGCCTCGGGCCCAGTACAGAGCACCCCAGGGGCAAGGTCCAGGAGTAGCCCCCAAACAGGAAAGAGAAGACAGACAAGGGTGGTGATGGGTCAGGGAAACGGCTTTAGACGCCAGGCACAGCCGCGGGCAGGCGGCCCAGGGTCAGCTCCCAGACTGCGGGGTCCCCACACGGTTGCGGGGGGCACACAGGCACCTGGGCTGTGATGGGGCAGGTTCCAGGCAGACCTGGGTCCTCTGAGCCCATTCTTCCACTTGCTGTGTGACCCTGGCCTACATCGTGACCTCTCTGAGCTACTGTTTTCTGTCTTGAGGCGGAGCTGATCTGATTTACTCAGAGAATTCCAGAAAGATAAAGGAAAATGCTCATCACATGCTCCTGGTCTACGGGAGTGGGCTGGAAGCCCCTGCCTGGCCGTGGGAAGGAGCCTCTGGGACGCTGAGCCCTCACCTATGATCTTATCCGAGGCGTTGCAGGCGAGTGCGAAGCGTGTGGTCTTGGAGTAGATCTCCATGGTCCTCCTCAGGGCCTGCTGGGCGCCGTCGGTCATGCTGGGGGGGGGGGGGGGGGGGGACATGAGAGGGGCGGGAGCCCAGGGTCGGGTCCTGAAGTTGGCCTCACTAGCCACCCCCCCACCCCCCCAGCACCGCTGGGCCCAGAATCCTGCAGCTGGGCCCGCCTCTCCTGCTGGTGCTTGGGGACCAGAGCCGTCACACAGAGCCCACAAGGAGAGGGGACGCCTGGCCACCCCGGGCGAACAGGGGAAAGGGTTGCTGAGTGTCCATGTGTGGTCAGGAGACCAGGACGGCCACCATGTGGGCGTCACAGCTGTATATGAGAGCGAGTGAGCAGGTGTGTCAGAACGTGCACGCACGTGCCTATGTGTGCATGTGTGTGTGTGTGTGTGTGCAGAAGGGCACTCGCCTATCTGCCCCATCCAGGAGAGTGGGCTGTGTGTGTCTGTACGTGTTTGTGTGTGTGTGTGTGTGTGTTTGTGTGTGCAGGGGTGCAGCCTCACCTGTCCGCCTCGTCCAGGATGATGATCTTGTGCCGCCCTTTGGGGAGAGTGACTTTCTGCTGAGCGAACATTTTGATTTTATTCCTCACCACATCAATGCCCCTAAAAAAGCAAAGTCCTCATCACCATCAAAGACAGACTCAGTCACTGTCCCCGGCTCCCAGGCCTGGCGGGGCGCAGGGGTCACTCCTGGGGGGACGTGGGGATGCTGTGGGGTGCCGGGAGTCCGACCCGCTGCTGTCCCATGGCTCTGGTCCCGGCGCCCAGGCCCGAGCCGCACCTGTCGTTGGACGCGTTGAGCTCCAGAACCGCGTCCTTCAGCGCAGGGCCCAGCAGGGCGCGCGCCAGGCACAGGATGCTGGTGGTCTTGCCGGTCCCCGGGGGGCCCTGGGAGAGAGAGAGCGGCAAGTGCTCTGAGTTCGTCCTCTGTCCACATCACCTCCCTGCCAGCCTCAAGCCCAGGGGCCACAACCCCGCACTTACCGCAATGATGATGTTGGGCACATTTCCTTCCCGTGCGAAGACCTGGGGGAGGGGGGATGGGATGGGCAAACTGGCTTCTCTGGCTTCCCCCCGGGTGGGGGTGGGGTCCGGGCCACACCCAGTGGTGCTAGGGGCTATTCCTCAGCTCTGTGCTCAGCAAAGACCCCCGGCCGTGTCCAGGGACTATATGTGGCAACAAGCGTCTTCACGGGGTCCTAGCTCTCTCTTTTGTTTTGGGGCCACACCTGGCAGTGCTTAGAGGTTACTCCTGGCTTTGGCTCAGGAATCACTCCTGGAGGTGCTTGGGGGACCACATGGGCTTCCAGGAACGGGACCTGGGTCAGTTGTGTGCAAGGCAAACGCCTGTCTTATCTCTGCATTTTGCTTTCCCCGGGCCCCCAGTCCAGCTGACTGCCCTTGGTCAGCCTGGGGGCCACCAGTGGAAAGGCTGACAGCCCACAGCGGCTGTACTTCCTGTACTTCCTGTCGTGCTCACGGCTGGGGCTCAGGCCACCAGCTATAAACAGCTTTGACCTTTCAGAGAACTGTGGAATGGATAAAGATCGGCAGACGTTCTGAAGAGCACAGAACATGTCAGTCGCCTCTCTGAGGGCTGGTTCCTCAGTCCTCCAGATTCATGGCTGGGCGTCCTCCAAAGCCACTGGGGACTTCACAGAAGATCATCTCTTGAGGGTCAGAGCAACAGTACAACAGGGACAGAGTTTAGACTTGCACATGGCTGACCTGAGCTCAATTCCCAGTGTCCTAGAAGGTTCCCTGAGAACCGCCAGGAGTAAGTTCTGGGTGCAGAGCCAGGAGTAAGGCCTTGAGCATCAGCTGGGGTGGCCCCCAAGCAAAAAGCCAACAAAATCACCCACCTCCAGCCTGCTGACCGTGTCTTCATTCCCAACAATTTCGTTCAACTTCATGGGCCTGTACTTTTCAACCCTATTGTGAGAAAATGCAGAACAATGTGTTAACACAAAGCGATTTTTTTGCTGTTGGTTTTTGAGCCCAGCAATGCTAAGCTTACCCAGTGATGCTCTGTGCTCAGGAATTACTCCTGGGAGCATTCAGGGGACCACAGGGGATGCCAGAAATTGAGCCCGGGTGGGCTGCGTTCAAGGCAAATGCCCTCCCCACTGTACTATCACAGAAGCACCAAATGTGGCTATTTTCACGGTACCCATTCTGACTGGGCTGTCAGATGCTGATGTTCCGTTCAAGAAAAGTTCAGCAACAATTCAGGGTCTGAAGTTTAAAGAGGTGCCCGAGTGCCATTTGGATAGTGAAGAGCATGTGAGACCCTGGGGGCAGGAGAGCTGAACCGTAGTGCTGAGGAGGAGGAGGAGGAGGAGGAGGAGGAGGAGGAGGAGGAGGAGGAGGAGGAGGAGGAGGAGGGGAGGGAGAGGAGGGGAGCAGTTGGTTCTGGAATTGTCAGGAGTTATTGATTCAAATTTTCTTTCAAAATATGAAAATAAATGCAAGATTCCGGTGAGTCTTCTATTCTATGGGCACAGATTTTTATTTATTTTTCTTTTTGGGTCGTACCCAGCGATGCTCAGGGGTTACTCCTGGCTCTGCACTCAGGAATTAGTCCTGGCGGTGCTTGGGGGACCATATGGGATGCTGGAAATTGAACCCGGGTCGGCTGCATGCAAGGCAAACCCCCTACCTGCTGTGCTATCTCTCCAGCCCCATGGGCACAAAATTTAATGTAAGAATGAATGTGGGCCGGAGTGATGGTACAGTGGGGAGGGCATTTGCCTTGCAGCGGCCGACCCAGATTCAATTCCCAGCATCCCATATGGTCCCCCAAGCACCGCCAGGACTAATTCCTGAGTGCAGAGCCAGGAGTAACCCCTGAGCATCGCTGGGTGCGACCCAAAAAGCAAAAAATAAAAAAAAAAAGAATGTGCACCTTTGGCACCTTGTAAGCTATTTGATCCAGAAACTCAGCAGTAAATCTTGAAAGAGTTCTACAAGTGGCAGAATTCAGAATTCTCCCAGATCCCCCACAAGGCTGAGTCATCTGGAGCAACCTGGAGGGTGATGGGTGAGCAAAATCGGGGGAGCCCCTCCTTTAAAGGACTCTTAGAGCTTTGCAGGGGGCTTTCTCCCCCTCTGAGAACAGAAGGGGTCAGCCAGCGACCACCTACCACCTGGGCTCCCCTGCACCCCGAGATGCCAGTGGGTCTCTGCTGGAAGCAGAGACGAGAGGCAGACAGGGCACATGTTCTAGGGCGAGGGGCTGCCTGCCCCTACGTGAGGAACGGGGAAGGCAGGTTCTCCCTCCAAAAGGTCCCCGGCTTGAACAGAATGAAACCTGGGCCGGGAAGGTGGGGTAGGGCGAGAATCTGCCTGGAGAACACCAGGGAGTGCCAGCGGCAGAAGCTGGAGCTGGACTCTGGAGGAAGTGCTCTCCTCCTCAGGAGCCCCAGCTCCCCCGCCCATCAAGCAACCACGGGGTGGGCGCAGGGTCCTAATCGGCTCACCAGGCAGGGCACTTCCACCGCCAAACACAATATATCATTGCACTTGCTTATTTCCCAAGCATCGAGTGTTGTGCAGGAAAAAGAGAAGGCAAGTCACCAAGAGAACCCTGGTTAGGTTTGCTTTTGGGGGTCACACCCAATGCTATTCCGGGGGGCTCCTGGTGCTGGGACTAAAGGTGGCCGCACGCAAAGCCTCTCTGAGCTGCTGCCAGCCCGGGTAAACGTCAACTTTGCAGTAGCTACACTTAAGAAAGGCCTAAAGGGGTGGGGGGCGCTGGTCTCGCACTGGCTGGCCGGGCTCCAAGCATCCCATGAGCACCGCCGGGATGCCTGAGCACGGGGCCAGGGGCAAGCACCGGGCACTGCCGGGTGTGGGCCAAAAAAAAAAAAACAAAAAACAAAACAAAAACAAACCACCAGGAAGGGCGGGAAGAGGCCGAGAGGGCGCCCAGGGGTGCCCAGTATATACTTGCGGGCAGGCCACCCGCCGGGACCCTCGGCATCCCGGGGTCGCCGGCGCCCCGCAGGAGTGACCCCTGAGCGCCGCAAACCAGCAGGGGGGCGGCAGGGGGGCGGCGGCGACAGTCCCGGGAGGGGCCAGCGCCACGCTCGGGCCCGCTCGGACGCCCCCAACCGGGTCTGTCCCCGGGGGGCTCCGCGCAGCCTCGGGCACGAGCTCCCGTCCCCCCCGCGCTCTCCCCGCACGCGGCCCGGGTCCCCCCAGGTCCAGCTCGGGCCCTCACCACGGCAGCTCGTAGTGGCCGGCGCCGCCCGAGGTGCTGCTGGGGGCCGGGCCGGGGTCCGGGGACCCGCGCGCGGGCGCGCCGCCGTCACCCTCGGGGGTCTCCATTCTCCGCCGCCGCTTCCCGCCGCGCGAGGCCCCGCCCCGTGACGTAACCGCGCGGGCCCCGCCCCCGCCGCGAGGGACGCCGGGAGCGGGCCGGAGCCCGGGCCCCGCCCCTTCTGCGCCTGCGCGCGGGACCCCGCCGGGCGGCGCGCCGGTTGCTAGGGGCAGCGGTTGCTAGGGGCGACGCGGCGTCCGGGCTGGGGGCGAGGGCGGGATGGGAGTGGACCCGACCGCTGAAGCCCTTCGCTGGGGCGGTGGGCTCCGGGCCGGGAGCTTTTCTCTCCCCGTTTTTGTTTTATTTTTAAATTTATTTATTTATATTTTTAAAATTTATTAAATTTTTTCAAAATTTTTTTAAATTAAAAAATATTTGCTCGAGCAAAATTTGAATTTTAATGTAGGAGTATTGCTAGTTTTTCAGCCACTGATTAGGCTGATTGTCCTCTCCCCGGTTTTGCGGGCAGCGCGGCCACCGCCGGTCGGCGATCAGTCACCCGGCGCTGCGCGGGAGGGTCGCGCCCGTTTTTGCAGGGGTGGAAACGGGGGAGCCCCTGTCCGCGGTGACTCATTCCAGCACACACGGGGACCAGGTTTCCGAGTGGTTTGGACGTTCTCTCGGGATGGCTTTATCGTCGTGGAACGAAGCCTGTCTCCCCGGGCCCTCATGTCATAAGAAATAAATTATGGATAATAATGATAAGCCTGAGAAAGGACCATCATTTGCCCTTACCTCACCCTTACCCTTGCCGTACCCCAGACCTGAGGTGGAGGCTCATTGCTCGGCTCACAGACAAAAGCAGCAGCTTTAGAAGGATTTTATCGCGTGTCCATTATCATTTAGGGCCCGGGGTGGAGTCAGGCTTCATTTCCACCGTGATGTCAGAGCGATTTGTATAAAATCTCTTCCCCCAAGCCCCACCCGGGGGGACCTGGTTTCCCCATCAGTACTTAGCCCTCATCCTAGCAGTGAACCTCTGGACCAATTATCTGTATTGCAAGAGGTGCCCCTGGCCCCTGAACCCTGGACCCTCCCCGCTAAAGGTCTCTTACTACACCTAACCACACTGCATTGTAAATTTGGAATAAAAATGGACTGACTTTGGGTCCCAGTGCGCTAGCACAAGAGACAGTTCTTACCTAATATGTGCCAACCCCATGTAAATATCCCATTCCCATAAGAATATGGCATTTTCTTGGGGGGCAGAGAGATTGTACATCATTTAGGGTGCTTGCCTTGTGTCGCATCCCATGCGGCTAAGTCTCCCAGGTGAAGGAAGAAGGGCAACGAGGTAAGGAGAGCTGACGAGCAATGCTCATGCAGCGTCTATTTTTTCCTTTTTTGGTCACACCCGGTGATGCTCAGGGCTTACTCCTGGCTCTGCACTCAGGAATTACCTCTGGCAGTGCTTGGGGGACCATATGGGATGCTGGGAATCAAACCTGGGTTGGCCACATGCAAGGCGAATGCCCTACCCGCTGTGCTATTGCTCCAGCCCCCTCATGCAGCTTCTTTATTGAACAAGCAACAGACTTTTATAGGTCTCTAGAAGGAAGCATATATTGGAAAAATATCCAGGAATGTTCAGGATACATAAGTTTAGAATGTACTGGGCTTCTAGACATCAATGATGTTTTTCTACAATTACATTGTTTCACGCCCATAGCACAGTAGGTAGGGCGTTTGCATTGCACGCGGCAGACCCGGGTTTTATTCCTCCGCCCCTCTGAGAGAGCCCAGCAAGCTACCGCGAGTATCCTGCCCTCATGGCAGAGCCTGGCAAGCTCCTCTTGGTGTATTGGATATGCCAAAAACAGTAACAACAAGTCTCACAATGAAGATGTTACTGGTGCTGGATCCAGCAAATCAACCAGGGAGGACAGTGCTACATTGTTCAATGATATTTTCCTTGGTTATAAATTAACACACCTTAGCAACATGTTCTGCCATAAGAATGGGGAAAGGGCCCGCCAGAAAAACAAGAAAGTCAACCCTTATATTGTATAACCCCAAGACAATGGTTTCTAATAAACCAGCCTTTAGACAAGACGTCCCCAGGACAAGAACTTTCTTAATATTAACCAGCACAGGCTCCCAACAACCGTGAACACATTAACCCAGATTTGATCCCATATGGCCCCTCAAGTTCCACCAGGAGTGATCCCTGATTGCAGAGCCAGGAATAAGCCCTGAGCACCGCCGAGTGTGACTCAAAAACCAAAATAATGATAATGGAGGGTCAGGGAGAAAGACAGGAGGTGAGGTACTGGTCTTGCATGTGGCCATGGCGCCTGTGAATGTGGATCGAATCCTCGGTACCACAGATAGCTCCCTGAGCCCTGCCAGATCCACTCCTGAGCACAGAGTTAGGAATGACCTGTAAGAAGCATCGGGTGAGAACCCAAAGCTAGAAGCAAACTAGGGGACTGAGAAAGCACAGAACTTTTTTTTTTGGGCTTTTTGGGTCACACCCAGCGATGCACAGGGGTTACTCCTGGCTCTGTACTCAGGAATCACTCCTGGCGGTGCTCAGGGACCATATGGGATGCTGGGAATCGAACCTGGGTTGGCCGCGTGCAAGACAAACGCCTTACCCGCTGTGCTATCACTCCAGCCCTGAGAAAGCACAGAACTTAAGGCTCATACCTCGCATGTAGCCAACTTGGTTAGCTCCCCAACTCCATATGTGAACCCCAGCACGCCAGGAGTGGCCTTGAGCATGGCGGGTGCAGCCCCCAAGCTCCAAAGTAAATGAAGTTAGCTAAACCTGACTTGAACAGTGACCTGGGGAGAGAGTTCAAAGGATGCTTTGCAGGCAGGAGCCCTGGGTTTGATCCCCAGCATCAGTGAATATGCTGCACACCCCCTCACAAAATAAAACATCCCTGATTCTGACGTATACACTGGAGGTGAGAATAAGGACCCGGTTCTGTCTGGGCTCGCTTCTTTTTTAGTGGCCGTGATTCCAGGACAGTTGCGGTGTTTTCGTTCCGTCAGCAGTGAGAATCGAACTATATCACAGGAAGACTGGCTCCTCTAGACAATGTCACTGTCACTGTCACTCCTGTTGTTCATCGGTTTGCTCGAGTGGACCAGTAACGTCTCCATTGTGACACTTGTTACTGTGTTTGGCATATTGAATACGTCACGGGGAGCTTGCCAGGTTTTGCCGTGCGGGCGAGATACTCTCGGTAGCTTGCCGGGCTCTCTGAGAGGGGCGGAGGAATCGAACCAGGGTCGGCCAGATTGGTTGCATGCAAGGCAAACGCCCTATTCGTTGTGCTATAGACAATGTCACTGAAATAAATATGGATCAACTATATATAGATTATATGTATATAATAACTCTACATATAGATAAGGGGAGGTCACCCAAACACTCCTCAGGGGTCCAGGGGCCACTCCCAATGATCCGGACCATTGGTGCCAGATGCTGACACAGTACTGCTCAAACCCCCAGTACTTGACCGTCAGGTGCTGCTGGGAGTGGTGCTCTCATGTTGTGACAGGTTTGAACTCAGCCAGGCAGATGGCTTGCTTGTGTCTCTAACCATTGGGCAATCTTCCTGGCCCCCAGAATCTATATGTTACCTTTTCTTTTGAGTTTTCTTTTTCCAGAAAACCCTGCTCATTATAAAGTTTGGGGAAGGGTGGCACAGCTCATACTCTCTCTCTCTCTCACTCTCTCTCTCTCTCTCTCTCTCTGGAGACCTTCAGACTGGAGGGTCGAAGCCAAGATCCCCTTGGAGTATGCTCAGCTGTGGTTTGAGGGATCAAACTCAAAGTGTCATGCTTGTCCTAGGCCCTTCCTGAGCCTCTGAGAATAGTCAGGGCCCTTCAATCAGGGTTTGCACTCCTGGCCCAGAGCTCACCAGGCAAGTACTTTAAGGCCCAGAGCCCTTTGCATGCATTTTTCTGTACGTGCTCCTGAGGTACATAGTACCTGCACCCTTCCTTCCTTCCTTCCTTCCTTCCTTCCTTCCTTCCTTCTTTCCTTCCTTCCTTCCTTCCTTCCTTTCTTCCTCCCTCCCTCTGTCTCTCCCTCCCTCCTACCTTCCTTCCTCTCTCCCTCCCTACTTCCTTCCTCCCTCCCTCCCTCCCTCCTCCCTTCCTTCCTTTTTTTCTTCCTTTTTTCCTTCCTTCCTTCCTTCCTTCTTTCCTTCCTTCCTTCCTTCCTTCCTTCCTTCCTTCCTTCCTTCCCTGTTTCCTACTTTTTGGTTTTTGGGCCACACCTGGCAGTGCTCAGGGGTTACTCCTGGCTCTGCCTTTAGGAATAATTCGTGATGGGGCTTAGGGGACCATACAGGATGCCAGGAATTAACCCAGGGTCAGCTTCGGGAAAGACAAATGCCCTCCCCACTGTATCTATTACTCTAGTTACAAACTAATCTATGTATTTTGTATTTAAGTTTTTGTTTTTGTTTGGGGGCCCCGCCTAGCCAGTGCTCTAGGCTTACTTCTAGCTCTGCATTCAGGGATCACTCATGATGGGCTTGGGGGAGCATGCGTGGTCCTGGGGATGGAAACTGGGTTAGCCACATGCAAAGCAAGCTCACTGTCCACTCAGCTATCCCTTCAGACACCCCCATAGGCCTACTTCCATTTGGGGGGAGGGACAAACCAGAGGTGCTCAGGGATCACTCCCAGGGACCATGTGGGATGCGGGGAATTGAACCTGAGTCTGCCACACACAAGGCCAGCACCCTCCCCCGAACGGTCGCCCAGACCTGTCCCTTGCTTTCTCTTGCCTTCTCCCTCGTGCACAGCTGTGCAGTCCATGTCCACGTGGCTCACTCAGGGTCACAGGCACTTTTTCCATGTGTGTGCGCTGAGACGGGAACACGTGTTCCCTCATTCGCACCAAGTCCTTGCCAGCTGGGCAGGAATCTCCGATGACTCAAATGCCAGAGCAGTTTGTTTTCATGAGGGCAGTTCTTCAAGGCTCTGTGCTCAGAGCCACGCGGTGTTTGGAAGAAAAGCAACAGAGCTTGGCCCACTCCCTTCCGTTCCCCTCCAAGGCCCCAGAGCCGTCCCCTACGTTTCAACAGTCACTTTTCCAAA